GCCAAGACCCTATAGAATAAAATGTTTGCAGTTGCAAATTTTTATGTTGCACGATATTAGCACAACTCCTTATCAAACCCCACTTTTGTGAAAAATGCCCTTAAATGCCCCCAAAACACAATAAAATATCTATTTTTTTTAAATGAAATATAAAAGATGGTTACGAGTAGATACCCAACATGCCCAGGTTAAAAATTGTGTGCGTCCGTGAAACCGCAACAAAATTCAGTACCACAAAAAGTCCATAGACTACGCTTTAAAAACCCCTACAGGTCATCATTTTAGAGATGTGCATAAATACTGGCCCTAGAATTATTGCTCTGGTGCACTTTACTGCGATCACATTGGGGTCTAAAAAGCCCCTATATCTCAAAGCTCCGGCCCGCAGACCAATTCTGGCCCACAAACTGATTTCATGCGGCCGAAGCACTGACACTAACACTGTACATAGTTACATAGTATTTGAGGTTGAATAAAGACATTAGTCCATCAAGTCCAACCTATTAGGATCTCATTCTAGGAGTACCCGTACCCCTGTATATTACGGTCCCTTAAGAAATCGTCCAAAAGTTTCTTGAACAATTCCACATTATTTGCTGAAATCACCGCCTGTGGCAGTGAGTTCCAGACCCTAACTGATCTTACTGTGAAGAACCCCCTTCGCCCCTTGTGCTGGAATTTTTTTTCCACCAATTTTAGGTGATGGCCTCTAGTTTTTGTAACGGAGTTAATTTTAAAGATTATCGCTAATGTTGCTACAATCAGTTCAAATTTAATTTTAAGTATACTATGCTGGAAGTGAGGCGATTAAGAGGGGACATGATTTTGATGTTCAAAATGTTCAGTGGCGATTAGCAAACTTTTTACTGTAAACTCCCTAACAAGGACTAGAGGCCACCACCACCAGAAAAGATTAATCCACAAAGGGCATAGAGGCTTCTTTTCAGTTAGAGTGGTTACATTTTGGAACTCTCTGCCACAAGCAGTGGTATCTGCAGAGAATATTGATTTGTTCACAAATCAATTAGATACCTAGAGACTAACATACAAGGGTACAGGTACTCTTAAATACTAGACCACACAGGGACTATATACACACGCATGCACAACACACACAGACACACAAAGATTGAACTTGATGGACCGGTGCCTTTTTTTCAACCCCAAATACTAAGTAACTATGCAAGTATGACATTTTATGAAAATTGGCAAGCAGCTACCATGGCAGATGAAAATGTGTCCAGTGGGCCCCAAGTGAATTGAGATTGAGACCGTAGCCCTATGTGATAGAAAAGAGGAAGTTACAGGTCTTCTTTAAGGAGACCTCAGGGGTCTATTAGATAGCCAATGTCCCCTGTGGACCCCAAAGAGGGAATTTATCAAAACTGGAGCAGACAAAATATGGAGCAGCTGTGCATGGCAATCAGCTTCTCTCTTCAGTTAAGATTTGAAAATCAAAGAAGCCGATTTATTTTCAAATCTTAACTGAACTGAAGAAAGAAGCCGATTGGTTGCCATGCACAGCTGCTCCAGACTTTGTTTGCTCCAGTTTTGATAAATTCCCTCATCGTGCTTCACCAGCTTCTTCTCTGGCTACAACAGTTGGAGAAATGACAGCCTGGAACTGGAAGTGACAATCTTTTTCACTTCCAGGTTCAGTAAGGCTGGGCTCACACCTAGGCGTATTGAATATGCGCGTTTGTACCGTGATTCGCAGTAAAAAAAACATGCAACAAACGCGCGTTTCCGAGGGCTACTTGGCTGTATCCCAATGGAAACGCCTGACCAAAACGCCGCAAAGAAGTACACGCCCATCTGGGCGTTTTTCCGCGCGTTCGTACTCGCGGAAAAACGCCCAGATGGGAACCATGCACATTGAAAATAATGGCATTTCCCTGTTTGAGCGGTTTTCCGCGAGTGCGAACGCGCGGAAAAACGGCCAGGTGGGAACCGGGCCTAATAAGAGGGAAAGACGCCCGCTGTGCCAGTCCTGCATGGGGGACAGCGGAGCAAGGAATAACCGGCAGCGGAGGGGAGCACACACAAGTCATCGGGCAGCTCCACAGTGGTGGTATAACCACTTCAGGACTGCGTCACATATATTAGGCAAGGTCAATACAGACTGCTCTAGTTTGAGACAGGTACATACTGCGGCCACAGCAGAAATGGTTTCCTTATGTTTTGGTGCACATTTATGACCCCCACTGTCTATGGCTTCTTAAACTACAGATAGCTTCCCCATTATCTCAGGCATTGCAGAGGTAAATTCCTCTGTAGAAACAAAGGAGGTTGTCCCAGAGGGAGTGGAAAAGGAACAAAGCCAGATAGCATGTCTGCAAAGGGACAAGAATTCGGACTAGCAGAGTCAGGATCTCTAAGGGGGCAGAGCATATACCCTTGGTTTTAGGGGCCAAGTAGGGACTGGGAGAACCTATGAACCATGTGCCTAAATCCACCACGTGCATGTGAAAATCTCCCAAGATGCAATTACAAGCCACAATACTGCAGAGCAGGAAAGGTTAGGCCTTCTGTAGGCAGCTAGAGCCCAGAAAAAATATCCAAAGATTGCCGTGTTGCGGAGCAAGCAGGGGTTGCACTCTGGCCAGTCAGCAAGTATAGCTAAAGGAAACAAGTGGTGCATGGCTTGCAGAAAACTTACAAGGAGACGCAAGAACAGCTCCACAGTAGTATTTGCTGGCATCCTAAGAGAACTGTTTAAGAAAAGGGGCAGAACACAGAGTGGGACATGGGAGATCATTTAAACTGTCGCAACGGGAAGCAAACAGCACCCTAAACCCCAAAGAAAAGATTTACCATGCGGGCAGAAAGTCTTAAAAGGTTGAGGATGTTGGGGACAAGCTAGCGGGCATAACCCCCAAGTGATCTTTACGGACAGGGCTTAGGAGAATTATGAGGCAAGTGATTTTCACTCAGCCTCATAATCTGAGCCGACCTGTGACAATGAAACTCACAGGTCGGCTCAGTAGATCGGAAAGTGAGCGAACACATACCGCCGCTCGCTCACTTCTCGATCTATCCCGGCAGAGAGCCGTGACTGGCACTCATGGCTCCCTGCAAGGATCCCCTCCCCTGTCCGATCCTCCAACGCTGACTGGCGGAATGGATGGGGAGGGGGCGGGCACAGCTGGCTCTACCTCTGGAAAGGCAGAGCCAGCTGTCAAACCCGCAGCTGGGTGGATCTCGACAGCAATGTCAGGATCTGTCCTGGCATCTCAGTATACCACGAGCTACTGAGCTTTGGTTCACGGGAACGCTAGTTTGTGTTCTCCCGTGACCCTTAGAACTATAGGGAAAACCACTGACCCCCATAGTTCTCCTTTAACCTGCAGACAGACCATGGCCCTGGACCTGTATTGTACCCTGCAGCTAAAGCGCGATGCGCAAGGGGCAAGGTGAGCACCCCATGAAGGATCCAGTGCCCAAAGCAATGTTACAGGCCGACCTTGCATCTTTTTCTAGGTGGGGTCTAGGTACAATACCCCAAGGCTCAGCAGAGGAGCCTTCTGAAAAAATAGGTGCCTAAAGAAATAAATCACAAGATACACATATATACATAGATATATGCATACATATATACACACATTCAACAAGCATACCATGCTTGTTCCAGGACTGTGTCTGAAACACAACTAAAGGCATTTACCCTTTTCAGAAAGAGGTAGTCCCATATTTTTCTCATGACAGATTCAATTTCAGGCTCCATTCACATCCATATTTTAGGTGTGATTAGGGGATTCCCGCAGCAGGAATCTGCTGTTCAAAAGGGGTAGTTGTCAACCATTTAAATTACTGCATGCAATCTTGTACGATTACATGTGGTTAGGAATCAATCACTATCCCTGGAAGCAGACTGTGCATCCAGGGGTAGGGATTGATTCCTAACCGAATGTAATCGTATCATATACAATAATAAGCGGTTTGTCGGCGTTCAAATGCAGCAACTGTCAACTGCTCATTAACTTGAAGGGGTGACAGCTGCCACTGTCAGTATTTGACTTGCTGCAGCTTCTGGTTCAAAGCTTACAGTGTGCAGTGAAATTATAGTAAATAATTTTAATTTTAAAAATGTGCACGTAGGCTGTAGTTTAGCTAATAGCTAGGAGATGACACAATGCACTCTACTTCTGCAGACAGTCCAGCCCCAGCCCGACACTAATTATATGATAGCAGCACCCTTGACATCCCATTAAAGCTGTAGGGATAGATTGGGTCTTTTTTTCAGCAGGTGCACTATAACAGATGAGATTATCAAATATTTTAAAAAAATCAAATGTACAATATTTTGTGAGACAGATTTTCAAATCTCACTCAACAAATCTGAAAATAAGTGACTTTTTAAAAGGGTCCTTAGGGCTTGTTCACACCATCTACAGACCAGAACTTTTGTCTGGTCCAAAAATAACACCCCTAGAGATTCATCCAGCATGTTACATTTTTTTTCTTGTCTGGAACACACAAAAATGCATGTAAACACATGCAAACACTTAGTCAATTGAGACAAAAAAAAAAAACACATCCAGATCTGGTCTGGAGATGTGAACAAGCCTTCAAAGTCAGCTGGGTATCTTTCTGTGGTTATAGTTAAAATGTTTTAATGGGCTGAGAAACATCGGGACTGGGCTGCCGATGACCAGAAAAGGCTTGACCACATAATGCCCATTTCATCTGTAACATTTGGTTTGACCACATAGCACGTTTGGGATGAACTCAAATGTAGCATCCATAAAGGGGAAAATCGACTCTAGATTTCCATGATCCACCGATCGACTTAATCAATTTAAAACTTTAGAAAGCTAGAGGACCCTTGTGGAATCTCTGCCACAACCAGCAGCATGTCTAATGGGATACTAAACAAGGGTTTGTTATTTTGGTCAGTAATAGATTGCTGGGGGGAAAAAAAAAAGGAAAAAAAAAAAAAACACATACTTTGCAAAACTACAAAAATATTCATACAATGGAACTGTAATTTCCATACTCACCATCTTATTTCCTCCTCTGATGAAAATTGTCACAGCTCTTGAATTTTTACATTGTTCTATAACAAGCATCTTATCCTTTGTTGTTCCAAAGGAGATTTCTTTAACTATGCCAGCATATCCAAGCTTTTCAGATGTTAATTCACAAAATCGTGGAACAATACGACCTCCAGTAGCAATAGCTATTAACTGAAGGAAACACCAAATGTCACAAAAATTGTTTTATTCTACAATATGTGCTGAATTTAGAAAAAGAGTACACATCTTACCTCTATTTCGGGTCCACCAACCCAGCGAACAGCAGGTAGATCATTTTGTAACAATAAATGATTTGCTTCATCATCAAAACCCCATTGACATATGGCTAGATTTGCACCAGTGTCTTTTATCTACAAAGAACGGAAGGGGGGGTGGGAGAGAGAGAGGTTAAAGAAATTAACGGGCTTTCTGTCCCTCACCTGGATTGTTAATTGCTTAATGATTGATTCTTCAGGTGAGAAAAGGGAAGGCTGAAGCATGATGTTGCTCTGGCCTGGGACTCAAGAGCATTCTGAGGCTGGGCACACACCTTACAACCAACAAAAACGTACGATCTGCCTATCTTGGACAGGCAGATCGTACTTGCGATGACCGCAATGCCGAACGAGCAGTGTGCGCTTGTGAGTAAGAGCTTGTTCACACGACGTCCGGATTGTGTCCGGACCAGAACCGTGTGCTCCTGCACCCAAAATGCATCCCAATGTATGTCGCGTCTGCAGATCTGCTCCAGAAAATAGTGTGAACAAGCCCTAAAAGGTTGCTGAAAGTACTTCTGTTTTGTTAGGTGGCTGAGATAAGCTCACCACCTGGTAGAGAGGAATCCTGCCCATTTAAGTCAGACTGAAAGGCAAGGATTTGTTTTCCGTTTTATGGCAACCTATTAAACAACTGTCTGCAAGTCAGATAAACAAAGGACTTTGCTGCCCGGACTACCTTTTTCCCAGGGAAGGTGATCCCCCATTTGAGATATACCTATATACACACACACATATACATACATATATACATACACAAGCATGTTTTCACTGTGTTGAAATCTTGTGCACAGTACTGTAGATCCCTTCCTATTATACCTAGTCTCCTAATTGTACAGTGAATCTGCATTAGGACTATAAGCTCTCCAGGTTTGCTAGCTCTGGCCGTTGATCTCCAGCTCTGGGCTAAGGATAGCCATACACTGTTAGAATTTCACTGAAAATCAATGTTTTCCAAAAGGTTTGTTTGATTCTAATAGTTTATGGAGGCAAATTAGTGATCATTTTCAAATGTAGCGAGATGAAAAGGTGAAGGATGGAAATTTTTCTGGTTTCTTATCTGAACCAAAAAAATATTTGAGAATGTTTGTGAATATGGTATTCAGTATGGTAAATCATACTTATTGTAATGAGCATTGGCTAGAAAAAATTCCATCTAGAAGCAGGACTTTCGTGGTCATTAGAATTTGTTTAAACCTTTCGCTGCCAAGGCCTTTTTTGAGTCTTTGCACACGTATTATAACATGTGCAAAAACATTATAATACGTTATAAACGTAAATAATTTTAGGCCTGAAAATTATTTAAAACCACCAAACATTTTCTGAAAGCAAAGACCCTGTAGAATAAAAAGGTGGCAGTTGCAAATTTTTAGTTTCAATATCACGTGCAACTTTAAATCAAACATTTAGTAAAAAATGCACGAATGTTAGTGCCCCCAGAAAAATTAAACATTTTTGGTGTAAACTTTAAAAAGATGAGGTTATGACGAGTAAATTGATATCCAACATGCTCAGGTTAAAAACTGTGTGCGTCCATGAAAAGGCAACAAAATACGGTACCCCAAATTGTCCATAGGCAACACTTTAAAAGCCTGTACAGGTCATCCGATTAAATATATGAATTTTGGCCCTAGAATTATTGCTCTCTTGCACGCAACAATACCGGCCATGTGTAGCGCGATCGTCGTTTTGTACGTAGGCGTGTTTACGGTAATATACACACCCTCACAGGGGAACTTAAAACTTTTTTTTAAATTTTTTCAAAATGGTCTTGTTTTTTTACTTTATTACTTCTTGTATAGAGGAATACAAATCCCAGCAATACTCTATACACTGTTATGTATAATGTATTGCTGGGATTTGTTGTATTAGTATATATATATGGCTGTTGGTATTCTGCATTGCACTGTATAATGTATTATTGCTGGGATTTGTAGTCGAATATAGCCGGTGCCATTCTGCATTGATTGACGTTTAATTTTATACTTTCCATGTCACTGTACTTCCTTGTGGAGGGTGGCTACTTTAGTTTCCCATGCTCCCCGTGTTGTAAAATAGCAACTGCTCCAAGCTTGCTCCGGTGATAGGCGAACAGATACAAATGAGCTAAACATGAGATTGTAATCCATCACGTGAACGAGCTTGGAGCAGTAACTACTTTGCAGAAAACACAGGGACCATGGGGAACAAAAGTAGCCACCCTCCAGAAGGACAGTGTCACATGATTTCAGAGATGATTTCAGAATCTACAGCCGAGTGATACACGTGTAAGCTACACTTTTGTTGACAGTTAAAGGAACACAGTTAAGGAACACAGTTAAGGAACACAGTTAAGGAACACAGTTAAGGAACACAGTTAAGGAACACAGTTAAGGAACACAGTGCCACTAAATACTAGAATACCGAGGCATGCTGGGAGCAAGAGTGGCTAATTAGGTGAAACCTTTTAAGTTCTACTTGCTAATGCCCAGGCTCCTGAAGGCGGCAGTATAACCCAATGTTTGAAGTTGATTCCTAGCCAAATTGTAATTTTTTCGGCAGCAAATGAAGACTTCGACAAATAGGAAATAATTAGGGTAGGGGGGAGGTTCTACTCAAAATGCATGGTACAAATGGAGATTGTAAAATGAATAATCTGACAATGAAAAAGTGCTGAATGATTGGTGTGTTAGCGTTCACCACACTATCGATTTATAAAGACAGAACACCACCAGAATATACCCCCAAAATAAAAAAATAAATATGACCTTTTCTATATAGGATCCCCTCTGTTTTTATTGATACATTTTGGATAAGACACTGTTTACCCCTCACCTACTGAACACCGATGAACGATCAGGGTGCTAGGAGTCCGTAGCTGGTGGACTTTTATTTATTGAGGACTATATATGCGTGTATACCCTTCACTCTCCGATTCAACGTTATATGGATTAAGTGTGGGGGGGGGGGTCAATGCATGCTTTCTTAGTCGGGATCTGTTTTTTTTTTTATTGTACTGTAACTTTGTACAAAAAAGTAAAACATCTTTTGAAAGTAAAAAGCTAAATATGTATGTGATTTTATTTTAGCAGCATCCATTAGCAGTTATCAAGGCACAAGTTTTTGTCTACTAAAATATTAACAAAAAACAAATATTGCACAGTGTATTCATTAAGCAACTCATGTGAATACGGAACTTTGATTCCCCATTCAATTATCAAAAGGTAATTGCAGTTTAAAAGTTAAGTTTGGCCTTAAAGACTAAATACCTGGGTGCTCAGAGCAAATTTAGACACGTCAGTAAACTTTAAATTTAATTTGTGTACCTTAATAATTTTGACATTGTTTTGTTTTACACATAATTCACATTGCTTGTTAGAATGTGCATTATAATAGGCAGACAAATTGGTAAAATGTGAAAAGCATAAAAGCTTCTAGCTGTCCAAAGTGGATCTACATACTATGCGCAGGAAACAGATGAGCAAAAATGAGTTCCACACAAACCTGTTTAACCATCTCAAGGAACTTTTCTTTCTCATATTTCTGAAGTGCTCTGTAGTCTTCTACGGAGGTCACATCAAGCTTATGCTTAGTCTTAGGTTTAGGTGGTTCAAATGGACAGGTAAGAATTGCAATTTTAGCATTTTTTACTTCCTGGAATAAAAGTACATTGAACACTTAATTAGGCAGGAAAATATCACTGAAAAAACATTAAATGGGGAAGGGGGGCATCTTTGAAAAAGACAATAGCAATAAATTACAGAAATGCATAACCGACATGGGAGAGGTAGGAGGAGAAAAAAAAAAAAAAAAAAAAATAGGGAAACAAAAAAAAAAGAAGAGGGGGGCGAGCAAGGAAAAAAAAAAAACTAGGGCAACCAAAGAAAAAGGGCAACCACAGAAAAAGACTAGGGAGGCTAGCAAGAGAGAAAAATGGAGACCAAAACAAAAATCAGCCTAGGTTCCCTTGTAGATGATCTGGCTTAGCTTAAAGTACAAGTAAATGCCAAGTAATTATTTAGTTTTCTAAAAGTACTTTGTGCCAAACATCCGATTTGATTAAATATCTCTTTTATTCAATTTAACAATTGTACAAACAAAATAAAGAAAATAAACATAACCACAGACAGAGACAGAGAGACAGAGAGAGAGAGAGGACATACATACACACACACACACCATAAAATCGACCAAACATTACATAATTACTCTTAGCTCAAAATATATTGTAACACTAAAGAATCGGGTGCTAAATCTGGTGTAGAAAGCCACACATTCTGAAGAATTGTGTATGTCTTCCCCTGTGTTGGTACACCAATTTTTCTTAATAAATTGACCTGGGCACGCCATTCACCAATAGTGGGGGGTTAGAAGACATCCACCTCAAGGCTACTAATTTTCTTGCTACAAAAAGAACACCTATTACTAAAGATTTGCTCAGAATATTCGTCTTTAACGATTAGATTCAGTAAACATATCCTAGGATCTGCCAATATAGATATCCGACATACATTATTAAAATGACAACAATGAACCAAGCCTACATAATGTAGGTGTAAACGTCTGCATGTAGTCCCCATCAGGAGCCCATGTTGCAGGGTGACAGCGTAGAGCACAATTGGGGGACAGTTGTCACCTCCTAACATGGTGTCTAAAAAAAAAAACCAAACAGACCTTTATGGTAGGATTACCAGGTATTTTACTGAAAGCTGTAGAATACTAAAAGATACTTTTCAAATTACCGTATTTTGCGGTCCATAAGACGCACCGGACCATAGGACGCAGGGAGGTCCGCACCGGACCTCCCTGCGTCCTATTGGCAATTTTTTAGACACAAGGCGCACCGCCTTATGGAGCACTCGATAGACCGTAGCTTCTGTTCTATGACAGAAGCTGCAGTTTGTGACCGCTGAGACAGGTGGCGCTGTGATTATAGCGCCACGGTCTCAGTGATCACACCGAGCAGACGAAGAACGTCCATTCTTCGTCTGCTCTATGGTGATCTCGATCGCCGCTGCTCGGTTTTAATACGAGTGATCTCATTAGATCACTCGTATTAAACGAGCAGTGGCTCATACTACTCGCCCGGCGCCCGAAACTGCATGTCTCGGGCGTCGGGATTCGCTCCATAAGACGCAGGCACATTTCCCCCCTCCTTTTGGGGGAAAAAAAGTGCGTCTTATGGAGCGAAAAATACGGTACATTAACAAGGTAAGGATGTATACTATACACAGAACCTAGACTTTATACGGAACTTATAGTAAACATTCTGTAGCTTTTGTTACGGTAAGGCCTCATGTGAACACTGCAGTGCATCTGTGCATCATCCCTTTCTGTTCCCAGACCCTGTCCCCTGAAGACACCATGAAGTAATTAGAAATAGGAGTGGAAGGGATTTGCCTATAAAACCCCCGATAGGCTCCTTTGGGTCTAGAAAATCAGAGTATGTCCGTCTAGGTACCGTCACATGTGCTGAAGTGGTCTGCGACTCCAATATGGAAGTATGTGATGACCTAAAAATGTCTGCTGCCCCAACCCCCCCACCGCTGGTTTGCTTTGTCAAATTGAATTGTGTTAAAGAATCCCTGTTAAGACAACTAAACTTAAAAGTAATGGCCACTTTAAAATTTACCTTTGGCATCTGAGGATGGCTGAAGTCCTTATCCACTATAACACCTTTTATAAGTTGTGTGTCTTCAAGTTTGCCTCCAACTTTGCCTTCAACTTTAATTAACTCAAAATCAACATCCTTGCGTTCCATATCAGCTACAGTCAAAACTGCATTAACTGCAATTTCTGCCATTTGTCGGTGGCAACGGTTAATCCTACATAAAAAGAGGAAGTTCAGCCTTAGGTCATCATTGGCAAATTTAGTGACATGTAACAATAGACTTTTCCACATCTGTTTACCATCTAAAACACATCAATATAATTACATTTACTATGAATAGTACCGATAATCCTCGCTTAACGACTTACCTGCTTTGCGACCACTCGCACTTACGACCGTCCTCCGACCTTGTGCGACGCGTCGCCAGCAGAAGTGAAGTCCTCCGATCTTCACTGCGGTCCCGGTAAGTATTTTAATTGCCTGATGTACAGTACACTGTTCGGTACTGTACATCTGCAACGCTATACAGTACTGTATAGAGTTTCTCACTTAACGACCAATTCGTTTAACGACCTGGTCGTAGGAACGGAACTCGGTCGTTAAGTGAGGATACCTAAAGTTACATTTACTATTAAGACTAAATATGTTTTTTCCCCCACAGCAACTAGTGCACTAGTCAGTGTGGGATTACTATCCAGGACAGCACATGAGAGAAGCTAGAAATACCTAGTTAAGGTGGGACGACAGTCCACGAAACTTTTCCTGCCAAAGGCTTTGTCCTGGCTGCAGAAAAGTTAGACCGTATAATGCCAGGCGAAGATTTGGAAACTGGTCCAGATAGCTGCCTTAATGACCTTGTCTTGAGATGCTCCCACTCTTTCTATAAAAGGCAAAGTCCTTTGAGTGTGCTGTAAAGAGTTTTATGGCTGTTAAAGCAAATGGGCTTTGCAAGCTTTTACAATAGCATTTCTGGGCCATCTAGCTATTGCGTTTTTGGTTGCCGTTTTCCTTTTTAAGACCCAAGAAAAGGACAAGAGGTTGTTGGATTTTCTCCAGAATTTAGGGACCTCAAGTTTGGCTATTAGGCATCTTCTGACGTCTAATCTGTGAAAGGCAGCTTCTTGTGTTAGATGGGTTGTAATATTTTGTATCCTGTAAAAGTGCAAAGCCATTTTTTCTGGTAGAATTGGGCAGTAAAATTGTTCTCTGGAGAGTGCATACTTCGAGAACTCTTCTAGAAGGTGCTAGAGATAATAGCAAAACCATTTTCAGAGTTAGTATTGTCTTAAAACATTCTTCAAAAGGCTTAAAAAGGCGCCTAAAGTAACCCTCTAAGTATTGTTGAGAGGTCCCAGGTAGGAAGTTTCACCAACCAATTGTGACTGCCTTCTTGTGATGTAATTATTCTCCTAATGAGATTTTTCTGCTAATCTGATTTCCAGAAAACTAGACTTCTTAACCACTTGCAACAGATCTTCTGCGACAGATCAGACAGAGCGCTCTCCTCTACTCACCGCTCTCCATCCTGACACAGGAGGCGACGCCGGGAGGTGTGGGAGGAGAGCTTCGTCTCCTGTAACAATGACAGCTGTCGCTGCCACGCACGGCTCAGTATCCTGAAAGTTTATCTCCTCCCCGCTGGGTGCTGGCGCAGAATCGGAAGGCACACAGACTGGCGCCAAACGGGGAGGAGATCCCAATGCACGGAATTTCCGGTTGCATTTTTGGTCATCATGGCATTTTCGTCCGAGGCGTTTCAGCGGCTGAAATTTTAGTGCAGTCCTAGTTTTTACCTACCTCTTAGAGACTTAGGGCCCATTCATAGCTAACTGGTCGGATGTTGTGGTTTTTGCGGTGCGGTAGCCTTCTCTTTTAACAGAATTACCGTAAAGAGGATTTTAAAAAGGAACACATTTGGAGTACAACAAAGGAGGTAAAGAAGTAAAAAAAAAAAAAAAATATGGAGGCTGAAAGTTTACTTCTAAAAATGCTAGCTGCCTCTCTTGATTCAGGAGAGGCATTTAATCCAGCAGAAAAGTAGGCAAGTAGGAATTCAGCGCTGTATTAGGTCAAAAGAGGAAGGTAGGCATGTAAAAATGTGCATGTATTGCAGAGAGAGATATATATATATATATATATATTTT